GACTGTCTAGAAGTCTAGAGTGCTAGCGGAATAATAACTGACTTTAATGAACTGAAAATTTTTCTCAAGAAAAGCTCGAATCAAGTAATTGTAGAGTTAGTTAGTTTGATAGAAATAGGGAAACTGACTGCTACCATTTTTTCCTGCCGTTTTTCTTCGAAGTGTAAGATCTTATGCAGGAGGAAGTTTTTCAAAATGGTGCTTATAACCTCTAAAAAGTCATTGCAATATGTGCAATTGAGTAAAGTACCTATTTAAGGACTACTCGAAGAGCAAAGCTGGCCCATCACATGAGAAAAAGTCAGAAAGCATCGCAGATGAAAAGAAAAGCGACGAGACATCAACAGTGGCTGCGGCAGCGGCGGCGGAAGCACCGGCCGATGAGTCGAACGCAGAATCGCCAGATGCGCCAAGCCCCGATCAACGTATGCTACGACAGCTTACGGAACAGGACTACCTTGTTGGTAGGTGAATGTATCGTGTCTTATGGGTTTGTGCTTACAATGCTTATCTTGTTTTTTTTCTCCTATCAAGAATTATAAGCTTGTGAGATTATCGCTGCTTTTTGGGTTATCTCGCATTAAGTTTCTTTTAGCTGATGTTTCCATTCTCGCAAACGACCATTCTCATTCTCAAAATGAGTCACAACATTTGTTACCTTGACTTGTAGTGATAGTCAAAAATTTTAAATTATGCGACTTAACCTAAGTTCGCTAGCATCTTTCTTCCCCAAAGCGATTCAAAGTGCTACGCGAAACACTCTGTTACGGCATTTTTGCCGTTACGGTGGAGGCTAGATCAGAAAAATTTTGCTTCTGTTTCATTCCGCTTTCTTCTTGAATGACAGACCATTGATTGTACAATATAGTAATTCATTTCACTGAACAAGTCACGAAATTTCCCAATTCTAGTCTTGAGACTGGTTTCTCGCTTTCATGCTTGGACGAGTTTTCACTTTACAACCTTCGACTTTTACTTTGAATGCTAGCGAAAGTGCTGCGCAGTGCCGCCCATATGTCGCAGCCGATCTCAAGTATGTATCTTTTTGCGCCGCGCACAGTCGTTGTTCGTTATGTCGTTTGATGAATACGGTATATGTTATCGGCTGTCGCAAATTTGATTAACGTCAAGGTCATAGCGCAGTACCGCGCTGGTTCGCTCATTTACGTGTCTACAGCGCCGGGCACAGCGCTACTGTAATTATATATCTGTGCGGGATGTCTTTC